AAAAAAAAAAAAAAAAAAGACACCAAGAATGTTCTCAGCTCATTCTCTGAATTCGCTAGGGATTTGCCTGGACCCAGTGTCTAGGGGGACCTAATATCCTGTTAACTCCAGCGTTTAGCTTCCAATTTCCTTTTCTATCAATCAAAGATTTTATAGCCAAGTTTCCAAGAATATAAAATGAGAAACAGTCTCTTCAGCAGGTTGTCCTGGGAAAGTTGGAGAGCTGCATGTAAATCAATGAAATTGGAACACACCCTCACTCCATGAAAATAAATAAACTCAAAATGTCTGAAAGACCTAAACATAAGACATGACACCATAAAATCCTAGAAGAGAGCATAGGCAAAGCATTCTCTGATATAAATCATACCAATGTTTTCTTAGGTCAGTCTCCCAAGGCAATAGAAATAAAAACAAAAATAAACAAACGGGACCTAATCAAGTTTACAAGCTTTTGCACAGCAAAGGAAACCATAAAAAAAAACAAATGAAAAGACAACCTATGGAATGGGAGAAAAGTATCTGCAAATGATGCGACAGACAAGGGCTTTATCTACAAAATATACAAACTCATACAACTCAACAACAAAAAAAATCAAACAACACAATTGAAAAATGGGTAGAAGACCTTAATAGACACTTCTCCAAAGAAGACATACAGATGGCCAGTAGGCACATGAAAAGATGTTCATCATTGCTAATTATTAGAGAAATGCAAATCAAAACTACAATGAGGTACCACCTCACAAAGGTCAGAATGGCCATCATTAAAAAGTCTACAAATAACAAATGCTGGAGAGGGCGTAAAGAAAAGGGAACCCTCCTACGCTGTTGGTGGGAATGTAAGTTGGTGCAGCCACTGTGGAGAACAGTATGAAGATTCCTCAAAAAACTAAAAATAGAATCACCATATGATCCAGCAATCCCACTCCTGGGCATATACCTGGACAAAACTATAATTCAAAAAGATACATGCACCCCTATGTTCACAGCAACACTATTCACGATAGCCAAGTCATGGAAAAAACCTAAATGTTCATTGACAGATGAATAGATAAAGAAGATGTGGTACATATATATACAATGGAATACTACTTAGCCATAAAAAAGAACGAAATAATGTCATTTGCAGCAACATGGATGCAACTAGAGATTATCATGCTAAGTGAAGGAAGTCAGAAGGAGAAAGACAAATACCATATGGTATCACTCATTTGTGGAATCCAAAATATGGCACAAATGAACCCATCTACAAAACAGAAACAAACTCACTGGCATAGAGAACAGACTTGTGGTTGCCAAGGAGGAGGGGTGTGGGGGAAGGAAGGATTGGGAGTGTGGGATTAGCAGATGTAAACTATTATATATAGGATGGATAAACAACAAGGTCCTACTGTATAAACACAGGGAACTATATTCACTATCCTGTGATAAAGCATAATGGAAAAGAATATTAAAAAAGAAAAGAATGTCTATATATGAGTAACTGAGTCACTTTGCTGTACAGCAGAGACTGGCACAACACTGTAAATCAACTCTACTTCAATTAAAAAAAATAAATAAAAGCAAGGCTTCCCTGGTGGCGCAGTGGGTAAGAATCTGCCTGCAGAGGACACGGGTTCGAGCCCTGGTCCGGGACGATCCCACATGCCACAGAGCAACTAAGTAGTGTGTCACAACTACTGAGCCTGTGCTCTAGAGCCTGTGAGCCGCAACTACTGAGCCCACATGCCACAACTACTGAAACCCACGCGCCTAGAGCCCGTGCTCCACAACAAGAGAAGCCACTTCAATGAGAAGCCTGTGCACTGCAACGAAGAGTAGCCCCCGCTCGCGGCAACTAGAGAAAGCCTGCACGCAGCAACGAAAACCCAACGCAGCCAAAATTAACTAACAAACTAACTAAATAAATAAAAGCAAAAACAAAAAAACCCCAGAATAACAAAAGAAAACCCCAAAGATATAGCCAATTTTTAAAAAGCACTATGTCAAAATTGATTTAATAGGTGTTGACAGTCCCTTATTACTGTAACTAATTCCAAGGAAAATATTTACTTATTTATTTTTTTCCCCAGGCCGCGCCATGCAGCATGTGGGGATCTTAGTTTCCCAACCAGGGGTCGAACCCATGCCCCCTGCATTGGGAGTGTGGAATCTTAACCACTGGACTGCCAGGGAAGTCCCCGAAAATATTTATTAATATTACTACTTTTGGGCTTCCCTGGTGGCGCAGCCATTGAGAGTCCGCCTGCCGATGCAGGGGACACGGGTTCGTGCCCCAGTCCAGGAGGATCCCACATGCCGCGGAGCGGCTGGGCCTGTGGGCCATGGCCGCTAGGCCTGCATGTCTGGAGCCTGTGCTCCGCAACGGGAGAGGCCACAACAGTGAGAGGCCCAGGCAAAAAAAAAAAAAAAAAAAAAATTACTACTTTCTATATAAGTACAACCTGGAAATGAATTCTTAATAACGTAAGGGTCTTGTCTTAGGTATTGGCTTTGAAGAACAGTAAAGACAACACAGCCTGGGGAGTGCAGCCGGTGTGAAGAGGACAGAGCACACTCACTCGGGATAGGCAGGGTCCAGGATGCGGAGCAGCAGCTGAATGAGAAGGCCGTAAAAATTCAGACATCTTCTCAGGAAGCTCTCGTCAAGTAAACCAGCATCAGCACAGGCCTTGCATCGTACCAGTTTCTGCGGAAGCAGGTATGTCCCCACCCATAGATTAGTTGGTGGCTAAGTACCTGCAGTGTGATTGGGCAGGGAATGGGCAAGGAGATGGGCAACCTAGGCTCTAGGGCTTCAAGAGCTTCATTGCTAACTGCCTGTAAGATGCTGGTCATGTCTCAAGAGCTTTCTCTTTCTCTGTTCTAAGAGAAAGAAAAGGCATGCCATGTGAATCACTGGGCACAGAACCTAGCACACAGTTAGTGCTGAAAAAGGTTAGGTTGTCACTGCCATATTCAAATAACCTGATGGGGGAGGCCCTTCGGAAGTCAGGGATGGTTACTGAGAAGAGCCAGACAAATCCGCATCTCAATGCCAGGTCAGCACTGAAAAGCTGCTCTTGGGCAAAATGCTTGTCCACCAAGGGTATAATATCCCCCTCAGAGTATCGCTGTGAGTTTAAACACACACGTGAGCACACATTGCATATTAACAGTTTATAGGCTTCTTGAAACCTATCTCTGGAGTGCTCAGGGGGTCTATAGACCCCAGAAAAGAGCCCCCAGCTTTTTCGGCATCTCAAAGAGGTCTACTGTATAGATAAATAAAACTGAAATCTTAACTTGTACCAGAAATCTAAGTCAGGTAAAATGTCTACACATCATCCTACTAATCAACAAAAAACACGACCAGCTAACATTCAGCTTTGTAATTTGAACATAAAAATGCATAAATGAAAAATGCATAAATATGCTGTCTGTGCTGCCCTTGTACAACCTTAGCTAGCATTTGTTTTCAACTATGTCTCATAAGCAGAAATCTTCCCATCTGCAGTTAGGTTCTATACGATGGATCATTTTCAATTAAACGAAGAATGAGGGGCAAAGCAAAGAGATCTTTCCACTACCACAAAGCCACTTTGTCAAACACCATGAAAATGCGTGGCTGGACAAACTCGAGTTGTGTGTGTTTTGAGGTGTGGGGGTGAGGGTTAGCAGATGGGGAGGATCTTGCACAAGGCAAGGAAGGGGAGGTGATGTTCAACTGAGGATGATAAAATCCATTAAGAATTCATATTGTCATTGGCATAGGCATTTTCTGTCCTGAGATTTAAATATACATAGAAACTATCCACAAGCTTTTAAATGTACCATTTTTATCTTGGGGGGAGGAGAAGAATGAGAAAAACTGAGGACATTAAACCGCTCATTCAAGGCGCATATTCCGGTGGGAAAGTTACTATTATGAGGCTGGTCTATAATTATCCCAATTAACGATACAAACCTTAAGCTGAGTTTTGCAGCGCTTCAGCATTTCACGGTGTCTAGCTGCCAGGGGGGAGTCTTTCCATTGGCTTTCATTGTTTTTCAAATCTTCCACAGTTCTGAAAGTAAAGACTAACAGTCAAATGAAAGAAGACACACAGATCCATCACCCACCTTATCTATTCATTTTCACCATGTCACTGACTCTCAGACACATGTCCCCTCTCTCCCCCCATGTCAGCATCACCAAACTCAGTGGCAAGTTATCGCTAAATTGGCAGTATTTTTCTTTCTTACTGGTTCCCAACATAACGATGTCTTAAAGTGGATGGCATTTTAGATTTGATGAAATACAGTAATCATTACTTTTGGAAGGAAATACATTGTTCCCTGTTTTTCTGGGAGGGAGAAATGCAAGGTTACTATGCCTACTCAATTACCCAAAACAAAAGGCTACTTTACTAAGGGCACTTTTCCTTCTGCTTGGAATGCTCTCCTCTGAGGTTACTTTTACGACTTGCTCCTTCACTCCCTTCAGGTATCTCCTCAAATATCACCTGTCAGACAGGTAAAGCCTTCCCTGATCATGTAATATGCTGCATATTTTAAAGACTGGCTCACTTAACACTATGTCAACCCTTTCTATCTATCAAAACATTGTGTAGGAAACTAGGGGGCAATAACTTCTTTAAAAATACATTTCCTAGCGAATTCCCTGGTGGTGCAGCAGTTAAGAATCCGCCTACCAAGGCAGGGAACATGGGTAAGAGCCCTGGTCCGGGAAGATCCCACACGCCGTGGAGCAGCTAAGCCCGTGCCGTGTGCCACAACTATTGAGCCTGCTCTCTAGAACCCGCGAGCCACAACTACTGAGCCTGAGTGCCACAGCTACTGAAGCCCACGCACCTAGAGGCCCGCGCTCCGCAATAAGAGAAGCCACCGCAATGAGAAGCCCGTGCACGACAACGAAGAGCAGCCCCCGCTCGCCGCAACTAGAGAAAGCAAGCGCACAGCAACGAAGACCCAACACAGCCAAAGATAAATTAATTAAATAAATAAATTAAACAAAAACGAAAACTACATTTCCTAGATTCCCTTGCTGCCAGCATGTCTGCACATGACCTAGCTTCCACCAAGAGGTGAGCCCTCACTGAAGGCAGAAGTGAATATAGTGAAGTGACAGCCACATGGTTCTTCTGGAAGCACAGTGTGGACGGGTTTTGCTCGAAGCACTGGCAGAGGCGGAACCCTGCAGCAGCTTCTTCCTGCCAGGCCGGGTTTGAAGAGGAGCCCTGGGAGTCCTCTTTTCCAGGCATTGCCAATGATTCAACAAACCAGAGAGTAGCCTTTAATTTTCCTCTTTCTGCTTATCTCAGATGAAGTGGATTCCTCTGTCTACAATTGGAACATGAATAATGGTAGACAGAATAATGACCCGCCCCACTGCCCCACAGGAAGATGTCACAGCTTAATCCCCAGAACCTGTGAATATGTTACCTTACATGGCAAAAGGAAACTTGCAGATGTGATTAAGGGTACGGAGCCCGAGACGGGCCCATATGTCTGGGTGGGCCCAATGTCATCTCAGGGTCCTTCTAAGAGAAAGAGGGAGTCAGAGTAAGAGAAAGAGTTGTGACAAGTGAAGCAGAGGTCAGAGGGAGGGAGAGCTGAAGATGCGATGGTGCTGATTTTGAAAAGAGAGGAAGGGGGCCGTGAACCAAGGAATGTAGGGGGTCTCCAGCTGTTCCAGCAGCTGGAACAGGCAAAGAAAGAGATTCTTCCCTAGAGCCTCAGAAGGAATGCAGCCTTGATTTTAGGACTTCTGACCACCAGAACCCTAAGGTAATAATTTTTGTTGTTTTAACTCATGAAGGTGGTGGTAATCTGTTGCAGTAGCAAAAGGAAACTAACATAATGACTTATATGCTTATCGGTAAGAAGAGGTTACAGGTAACAGGCCCTCCAGGAAAATGGGCCTTTGGGATTAGTTCTTCGACTGGGCTGGTTTGAAAGTGGTGATGGGGACTTCCAGTGGCCCAGTGGGTAAGACTCCACGCTCCCAATGCATGGGGCCTGGGTTCGATCCCTGGTTGGGGAACTAGATCCTGCATGCCGCAACTAAGATCCCGTGTGCCGCAACTAAGACCCGGTGCAGCCTAAATAAATAAATAAAAATAAATAAATATTAAAAAAAAGAAAGAAACAAAGCGGTGAAGATTCAGTTAGCATGTGAGGGCATAAAACTGGTAGCCCAGGTTCTCAGTGGAAAAACAGCTGCATAAACTATCACCAGTGACCTCCTGGAGTGAAGAGATAGTGTGGCTACTTGTAACTATGCTGGAGAGCTCACAGAAGAAAATGACAGGCTCCAGATTTTAAAATCTCGCCTCAAGAACAAGCCAATGAGTCAGGGAGTTTCTAAGATAAAGAAGCAGAGTCTGGTCCTATAAAGCACCAAATTATAACATAGACTGAATCCATAACCTCACTGGATCTCTTATCTAAATGTCAGAGCAAAGACTGGGACTCCAAGAATTCAAATGGAGGAGTTCAGGAGAACCAAAGTACCCAAATCCCTAAATCCCCTGAGCCTCGTCTGACAGCAGAAGCAGCTCCTGCAGTGATTGTAGCTCAGGTGGTCAAATTGCAGGATGATGCCAATTCCCCTTAGGCCCCAACCCATCATACGTCATTGCTTCCAGAACCAAAACTGGAGTGAGATCAATCACTGTCCTTATGGGCCAATTACAAAGCCACATGCAGGAAAAGCACACATTTGAAGAAAAAAGAAAGACCAAGATTTGCTAATATGTTTTATTAGCTTCCTATTGCTGCTGTAACAAATCATCACAAACTTACTGGCTTGCAGCAACACAATTATAGTCTTAGAGTTCCAGAGGTCAGCAATCTAAAATGGGTCAGCAGGGGATGCATTCCTTCTGGAGGCTCTAGGGAGAGTGTTTCCTTGCCCTTTCCAGCTTCTAGAGGGAGCCCGCATTCCTTGGCTTGTGGACCCACATCACTCTGATGTCTGCTTCTGTCATCACATTTCCTTTCTCACTCTGACCTTCTTGCCTCCCTCTTAAAAGGACCCCTGTGATACACTGGGTCCACTCAGATAATCTAGGAAAACCTCTCCATCTCAAGATCCTACAATTAATCACATCTGCAAAGTCTCTTTTACCATGTAAGGTAACACATTCACAAGTTCTGGGCACTAGGACATGAACATCCTTGCCGCACCACTATTCTACCTACTACATATGTAGTGAAGAAATGTGGCAGTATGTGTGGAACAGATTCTGAAGATGCTTGATCACCAAGAGAGGAACATGCTAACACACTCCTGTGGGGATAAATTCACTGACATGAATACAATGACCAGAGTCTCTGGATTCAACCTTATCCTGAGTATCTGGGAGGGGCTCTAACTGTGTGCCCACCTGGTTGACTAAAACCTAGAATTGAAGTTGAGTTGCTAGGAATTCCTTGATATAAATTCAGAGGAAGCTGGGAATATTAATATAGATTTACCATATATGACTAGCTCAGAAAACCACCCTCTCAAAACACACACATACCCCAACTGTGTCCTGGAAGATACTTCTTTCTTTTTCTTAATCTGACTTCAGCCAGATGTACTTTTATTTATTTAATTAATGTTTTTATTTTTATATTTTATTTATTTATTTTTGGCTGCATTGGGTCTTCATTGCTGTGCGCGGGCTTTCTCTAGTTGTGGCGAGCGGGGGCTACTCTTTGTTGTGGTGTGCGGGCTTCTCACTGCAGTGGCTTCTCTTGTTGTGGAGCACGGGCCCTAGGTGTGCGGGCTCAGTAGCTGTGGCTCGCAGGCTGTAGAGCGCAGGATCAGTAGTTGTGCCACACGGGTTTAGCTGCCACAGACTACAGGCTTAGCTGCTCCACAGCATGTGGGATCTTCCTGGACCAGGGCTTGAATCCGTGTCCCCTGCATTGGTGGGCAGATTCTTAACCACTGCGCCACCAGGGAAGCCCTGGAAGATACTTCTTGTATCACAGCACTGAAAAATACACAGGTGAGGGGAACACCAACATCTCTGAAAGGCACCAACCCTCACTGCAGGCTGAGAGTGAAGATGGCAGATGGTGCCATTGAAATGTATCCTCTGAAGTCAGTGGGAATGATGGGACCACAGGACAGCATCCATTCCAGGATGAAGGAACAGACAAATCAGAGTTGGAAATTTTTATAAGCCTCTCAATAACTGATATTATAAGCTGATAAAATCAGCAGACACAAGGAAAATTTGAACAAAAGATAAACAAACTTAATCGATATGTGTGAAATACTGCAAAAAGCAATACAGAAAGTGGATTCTTTTCTTCTTCTTTTTTTTTTGGCTGCATGGCACGTGGGATTTTAGTTCCCTGACCAGGGATTGAACCGAGGTCCTCGGCAGTGAGAGTGCAGAGTCCTAACCACTGGACTTCCAGGGAATTCCTGTGCGCTCATTTCCGCTATGGAACATTTATTAATTTAAATGTTAGCTACAAAGCAAATCTCAATAAAGTTCAAAGAACACAAATCAGAATATGTCTTCGGACAATGGAATTTAGCTAGAAATCAGTAACAAAGGATAAATGAACAAATCCCCCCAAGAATCTGGAATTTAAGCACCCCATCTTTATATAATCCACAAGTCAAGTAAGAAATAATAAAAATTACGTTATATTTTGAACTGAACAATAAAATATGACATACCAAAAGGTGCTCAAGATCACTAACTATCAAGGAAATGCAAATCAAAACCACAATGAGATATCACCTCATCCCTGTTAGCATGGCCACTATCAGAAAGATAAGAAATAAGTGTTGGTAAGAATGTAGAGAAAAGGGAACCCCTGTGCACTGTTGGTGGGAATGTAAACTGGTACAACCACTATGGAAAACAGTATGGATGTTCCGCAAAAAATTAAAATTAGAACTACCGTATGATCCAGCAATTCCACTTCTGCGTATTTAGCCCACGAAAACAAAAATGAAAAGATAGATATATGCACCCCCATGTTCATTGCAATATTATTTACAATAGCCAAGATAGAGAAACAATCTAAGTGCCCACCAACAGATGAATGGAAAAAGAAATGTCCACACACACACACACACACACACACACACACACACACACACACACACACAGAGGAATATTATTCGGCCATAAAAAAGAATGAAATTTTGCCACTGGTAACAACATGGATGGACCTTGAGGGCATTATGCTAAGTGAAATAAGTAGAACAGCGAAAAATACCATATAATCTCACTTATGTATGGAATCCTAAAAAAACAAACAAAACCCCAAAATACCAAGTTCAAAGACACAGAGAAGAAGACTGGTGGCTGCCAGAGGTGGGGGAGTGGGGTGGACAAAATAGGTCAAGGGAGTCAAAAGGTACACAAACTACCAGTTATAAAATAAATAAGTCATGGGGATGTAATATACAACATGGTGACTATAGTTAATAATACTGTACTGTGTATTTGACAGTTGCTGAGAGAGATCTTAAAAGTTCTCATCACAAGAAAAAAAATGTTACTATATACGGTGACAGATGTTAATTAGACTTATTGTGGTGACCATTTTGCAATATATGCAAACATCAAATCATTATGTTGTACACCTGAAACCAACATAATGTTATATGTCTATTATACCTCAGTAAAAAAAGATGACCTACTAAAAATGAGGGATGCAGCTAAAGCCATACTTAGAGGGAAACTAAACAGCCTTAAATGCATATATAAGAAAGGGCTAAAAATGAATGATTTAAATATCAACCTCAAAAAGCAATAGAAACATCAACAAAAAGCAAGTTAAACTAAAAGGAAATAATAAAGGCCCTACAGACACAAAAGTGATAAAAAGAGGATACTATGAACAACTTTATACCGAAAAGTTTTGAAACTTTACACACCACGGGAAAACTGGCACAAGATGAAATGAAAATCTAAGCAGGCCTATATCTACTAACAATAAAATACATAATTTAAAAAACTTCCCACATAGAAAACTCTAAGCCCAGACAACTTCATCAATGTTTCCAAACATTTAAGGAAGAAATAAAATAATTCTTACACAATAAACTCCTCAACAAATATAAAAAGAGGTAACACTCCACAACTGATTCTATGTGGCAAAAATAATGTTGATAACAAAATTTGAGAAGGACTTAACAAGAAATGAAAATCATAGGTCCATCTTTCTTCTGAATATAGACTCAAAACTCCTAAACAGAACATTAGCAAATTGAATATTCAATGAGACTTAAAAGCAGTAATACAGAGTTGAGTTTATTTCAAGAATATAAGGGAACTTCCCTGGTGGTCCAGTGAAAGAATCCACCTTCCAATGCAGGGGACGCGGGTTCGATCCCTGGTCAGGGAACTAGGATTCCACATGCCACGGGGCAACTAAGCCTGCGTGCCACAACTATTGAGCCTGCACGCCTGAACTAGAGCGCTCACACACTCTGGAGCCTGCGTGCCACAACCACAGAGAGAAAACCTACACGCCACAACTAGAGGGAAGCCCAGGAACTGCAACAAAAGATCCTGCATGCCTCAACAAAGATCCCACGTGCCACAACTAAGACCCAACACAGTCAAGAATAAAATAAATAAAATAATAATAAAAAAAGAATGTAAGATTGGTTTGATATCAGAAAGCCAGGTGATGTAATTCAACCATATTAATAGAATAAAGGGGAAAAAAATCTGATCTCCTCAACAGAGATGGAAAAAGATTTTAATAAAATTCAACTCCTGTTGAGAACAAAACACTTGTAGAAAATAGTGACCTAAAAGGGAATTTCCTTAATCTGATAATAGAGGATGTCTAAAAAACTTCCCCCCCATTAACTGGAATAAGAAAGAAATTTTAATGAAGTTATCAATACTTCTACTCAAGACTGTAGTAGAAATTGTAGCCAGGGCAGTAAGGCATGAAAAAGAAAATTATGAGGGCTTCCCTGGTGGTGCAGTGGTTGAGAATCTGCCTGCTAATGCAGGGGACACGGGTTCGAGCCCTGGTCTGGGAAGATCCCACATGCCGCAGAGCAACTGGGCCCGTGAGCCACAACTACTGAGCCTGCGCATCTGGAGCCTGTGCTCCGCAACAAGAGACGCCGCGATAGTGAGAGGACCTCGCACCGCGATGAAGAGTGGCCCCTGCTTGCCACAACTAGAGAAAGCCCTCGCACAGAAACGAAGACCCAAGAGAGCCAAAAAAATAAATACAAATAAACAAATGTGGGGTTTTAAAAAAAAAAAAAAAAAGGAAAAGAATTTAAAATTAATCAATACAATCATAAATAGCATGTAGGTCAAATAATAAAGCATAATTAAAATTAGAAAAATATTAAAAATAAAAAAGAAAATTATGAGAAAGAAAGAAAACTGTCATCATTTACAGACAACATGATTACATGTAGAAAAAAATATTAAGAAATCTACCAGGCAGTTATTAGAATTATTAAGTGATTGATTCTATTTTAATTCAAGGTAGATATAGATATGACACATTTTCTATTATACTCAGACTACACCACTCCTGGACCAAATGGTGTTAAGTGGCTACTCCATTATTATTCCAGATGACCTGTTCAAAAAAAATGTTTGCCTTCTATTCCTGTGACCTTTGTTTGCAGGTGCTGGTACATGGGGAGAAATGCTTAGATTAAGAAAAACAACAATGGTGTTAATGAATAGGAAACTGAGGCTACTATCTGGCCCTTTTAGACTTCTTATGCCACAGGACAATGTGCAAAAAAAGTGAATTACATGTTGGTGGGAGTAAATGACCTTGTTTATTTAGGGAAACCAGAGTTCCTGTTTCACAGTCCAGGGAAAGAAGGGTATGTCTGGAACCCAAGAAATCCTTTAAAGTGCCTCCTGATAATATGGTGCCCAGTGAAAAAAGTTAATGGAAGTCTCAACCACATACCAAGGGTTGAGGACTCTAGAAATCAAAGTTTGGGTCACTTCACCATGTAAAGAACTCTGGCCAATCAAGGAACATGGATGTAGTAGCAGAGGCAGATGGTATACTGTACCATATGTACCCCTCACATTCAAATCTACTGGTCACAAGGGAACTGCCTGCTTGTGAGAACAAGTGGTGACTCAGGCAACCTCAGGACATGGCACCATGCACATACCTGTTGAGCTCCCGTATGGCCCGGAGTCTGCGGATGTAGCGTCGGCAACCCGGCAGAATTGAGAGATGGTGGGCGTGCAGGGTAAGGAAGAAGCATTCTGTAGGGAATTTCGGCTCAGAAAACGGAGATTGATCTCCATCTAGGAAAAAGAACAAAATCCCCCAAATAAAATCTATCACATGACTCTATCAGAGGAAAAGCACAATTAAGAAGACAAAATTACACTTGTATTTTCAAGAAGTTTAAGGACACTTTTTGTTTTTTTTGCGGTACTCGGGCCTCTCACTGTTGTGGCCTCTCCCGTTGCGGAGCACAGGCTCTGGACGCGCAGGCTCAGTGGCCATGGCTCACGGGCCCAGCCACTCCACGGCATGTGGGATCTTCCCGGACCGGGGCACGAACCCGAGTCCCATGCATCGGCAGGCGGACTCTCAACCACTGTACCACTAAGGAAGCCCCCAAGGACACTTTTAAAAAATTAGAATTAATGGGACTTCCCTGGTGGTACAGTGGTTAAGAATCCGCCTGCCAGGCTTCCCTGGTGGCGCAGTGGTTGAGAATCCACCTGCCGACGCAGGGGACACCGGTTCGTGCCCCGGTCTGGGAGGATCCCACATGCCGCGCAGCGGCTGGGCCCGTAAGCCATGGCCTCTGAGCCTGCGCGTCCGGAGCCTGTGCTCCGCAACGGGAGAGGCCACAACAGTGAGAGGCCCACGTACACCAAAAAAAAAAAAAAGAATCCACCTGCCAAGGCAGGGGACACGGGGTTGATCCCTGGTCGAGGAAGATCCCACATGCTGAGGAGCAACTAAGCTCGTGTGCCACACCTACTGAGCCTCTGCTCTAGACACTGCAAGCCACAATTACTGAGCCCACGTGCCATAACTACTGAAGCCTGTGCGCCTAGAGCCCATGCTCTGCAACAAGAGAAGCCACTGCAGTGAGAAGCCCGCGCACTGCAACGAAGAGTAGCCCCCCCTCGCCGCAACTAGAGAAAGCCCGTGCGCAACAGTGAAGACCAAAAGCAGCCAAAATAAATAAATAAATAAATAAATAAATAAATAAATAAATAAATTTTAAAAAATTAGGCTTAGGTAATGTTATAAGAAAAACAGAATTCCTCTGAGCTCCACTTATGATCAGGTACTCTGCCCCATCTAATTAAATGTTTATACACATGTACACCAACGATCTTCGGTGATGTGTCTTCCTGGTGTATTTTATAGAATCATTTGTACTATTCAAACATCATTGTTAAACCTCAAAATGGTATTAGATTATGTAAATAAGCTACAGATTCCATAGCCATTTCCCTACTGTTGGACATATTTGTTGTTTCTAATTTTTCTCTATTAGAAACAGTGCTGGGAGGATCTATGTATAACAAGTTACTCCCTCACCCCCTCTCCGTTGCCAGCTTTGGGAGTATATTCTGGGAAGTGGAATTATTGAGAAAGACAGTATTACAGATTTTTGTTATGAATCACCAGAATTCACTTTAGATAGACTAAATTAATTGATAAAATGCCATCTATTTATTTACAAACTTATATTCTATCTTATCACTCTGTTTTTGAATAATTTATAGTTATAGAACGTTAACTTGAATTTCTTTCAATTTGTATCTAATTCCTACAAATATGTATATTTTT